GCAACTGGGCAGATGAAATGAGTGGTATAGGTGACTTTTGATAGGGATACAATCCAAACATATACATATATATATATATCCATTTGGGGTGGGATTCATCACCAGCAATAGGGATTCTTACTGGGATTTCATGGTGATGTATTCCACAGCATGATGTGATCATGGTGGTTAAATGGGATTATCATGCATACTAATAACATGAGATTATCTGGGTACCATGATTGTATATGTATATATTTATATACATGTTTATGTTTGTAATATAATGTATCACATCACATTTGATACTAATAGTACGGCAAGACCCTGAGGTTTGCCCGGACTCGCAACGAGCGTCCGGGCAAGCCAAGATGATGATGATGATGATGATGACGATGATGACGACGATGATGATGATGACGATGATGACGACGATGATAAGGATGATGATGATTTCGATATCTTCTTGAAACATCTTGAAACCGTAAAAGAACCCCCAATGACTGTATGATTAATTGTTCCATGGGGCCGGGGGATTTTGATATCTTCTTGAAACCCTAAGAAAACCCTGATGGCTGTGTGGTTGGTTGTTCCATGGGGCCGGGGGACGTTAATATCTTCTTGGGGGAGGCCTAGGAGCAACATGTTTTGCTTGACGCCTTAGCAAAATAATTGAGTATAAAATCCTTCCCGTTGTTGACGTCGTACAGATTTCCCCGATATTTACGCTATTCTGGGCTTGGGCAAACCTCGGGGTCTGTGTGTAATATTATCTAATAGCTTAGATGGTGATATATTGAGATTTACATAATGGGATGAATGCGATTATCATCGGATCCATAATCCATAACCCCATACTGGCCCATAGTAATCCTTAATCATCCATATGACAGTGCGGATGGAAGAAATCCTGCACCAGTTGATAACTATTGGTAAAGGTGAAACACTGCAAATAGTTGGATTGTAACGGGAAGAGCCATCTACCAACTGGTGCTGGTGTTGCTGGTGGTTTAGATGGGGATATGATACATCTATATCCGTATGGGATGGGATGGGATTCACCATCAACAATGGGGATTTTTAGTGGACAATGGGATATACTTGTTGTAAGGAAGTGGTAGTATCCTTAAAGTTGAATCGCGGTTTAGATTGGTAGGGTTTAGTTCAGTAAGGTTTTATGAATACTTGTGGTTTGCAGCATTCTGGGCAAAAGTGCTATAATGTGCTATAATGTGCTATTTTTGTGCTATTTTGTGCTATTTTGTTTTTTTTTTGTGCTTCTTTTATGTTGTTAAATGGTTAAGATTAAAACTTGAACATTTGCAAACTGATTTTCTGGTGGCAAACCCACCTTCAAAACTTTGCACCATTGTCGTCCACCCCTCATCACTCAAGCCGGCAAGTTCTTTGTCAATGTGTAAGAAGTTTCATCCATCATGGCAGGAACATATCCAACAAGACACCGACACAGCTATTATAGGTAACAGGATATCTTTCAAAACTTTGCACCATTGTCGTCCACCCTTCAGCACTCAAGCCGGCAAGTTCTTTCTCAATGTGTAAGAAATTTCATCCATCATGGCAGGAACATCCCCGACAAGACACCAACACATCTATTATATGTAACAGGGTATGTTTCTACATAACCACTGAACACACATATATATATATATATCATAAAAAAGTACGTATGATGTGTATATATATATATGTTCCTCTCATATCGGATTTAATGATACAGTGGGTTGTATTTCCATTGATTATATGTATGTATATATATATATATATATTCATATACATAAGTAATATACACATGTAATATATATGTTTATTTATGTGCAATATTTATGTATAATGTATGTTTCTATATATACATATATAGAATATATATATATATATATTCAATATAATATATATATATATATAATATTCTATATATTTATAAGTTCTCATTGGGTTGGGTGGGTTCATGGTGCAACGATGCTCTGCCTTTTGGTGGCCGGAGTTTGGCACTCAGACGGTCAAAGCTGTGCAATCTAAATTGTCAAGTGATTGTGAACTGGATTGCCCAATGTACATCATTTTTTCACACGGCACGGTGTTCGAGGTGAAGTGGATTCAACCTAAATTGCCCAACTTGATTGTGCCACATGCCCAATGCACATCAACATTTCTCCCAATGTACATCATTGTTTTTCACAAGGCAAGGTGTTCGAGGTGAAGTGGATTCAATCTAAATTGCCCAACTTGATTGTGCCACATGCCCAATGTACATCAAATTTTTCCCAATGTACATCATTTTTTTCACAAGGCAAGGTGTTCGAGGTGAAGTGGATTCAATCTAAATTGCCCAAATTGATTGTGCCACATGCTAAGTTTTTTTTTGCCATCTGCTAAGTTGAATTGGATGGGATGCGCAGCCCATGGAGTTTGCTTTGTTGTCCAGGAACTCAGATGACACTTCCTTTGATTTGCCTTCGGACTTCATGTTTTCTTGATCAGATTCCCTGTATTTTCACATTTCGAAGTACCCCTGCCTGTGCTAGATTATGCACCTTGTAGGTTCACCTATTCTTCGAAGCTCGAGATTTGTTGGAGCGTTCAGGATCTCGAGTGATGTCCTTGGGACAATGGCAACAAGTCAGAATTGTTAATTGTTGTTCCGACTATTGTTAGTGATGAATCATTCATGCGACATTGGGATATTGAGAAGACAGAACCGTTGACAGAGGTACACGGCCGTGACCCTGTTGTATTTGCGGGTGGCAGGTGTTTGCGTTGACCTCAGCTTGGCCTTGTGTTGGAGTCTTCTAGTCTAGCTACATGGCTTGTTAGTTGATCAGCAGTTGCATGTGTATGTCTGTGTGTCGTTCATGTCAGAGTTCGTTGGTGTTCCCAGGCCGTGGGCTGCATGTATGCATTTCCATTCAGGACAGGGCGCCAGAGAATCTTTTGTTGTGTTACTTGTCACTTGTTTTGGATTTGAAGTGGCTTTCAAGATGTCACACTATCAAGTCATGCCTGCAGTGTAGTGGTTCTGGTTCAGATCAGTGTGACTGATAGCAAATCATGGCCGGAACCCTGGACCCTAGTCACATCAGAGCAGCAGTTGAAGAGTTGAGAGCCACCAGATGTGAAGATCATGCGCTCTTTTTGCCACTGGGGATGATTTTGGACGACAACCCTTTGATCCAAGATGAGACCTTTAGTTGCAAACAACTTGAGCAAGCATTTCAGTGTTTTCATAAACTGGTTTGTTTATTTAGTCACAAACCATGCTTCATTTTGTAAGGAGACTTCGAAAAAGGAGGCAAGTGGTAGGTGAACGTTTTGTTTTGACTCAGGTATCTGATGAAGAGGGAGAATACAGACTCCCGTCACGGCAGCCCTGGTCATGGCTTCATGGTTGATATCAACAAGATCAAATATTCTGCTGTCCTGACGCAACATGCCAGTGAAGTTTGAATTAATTCATTAATGGTTGTTCTGTCTTACTCACTTCAAAGGGTACAGGCTTCAGCAAGTTAGTCCATGCATGGTTCATTCACGCTCCTGCTATACCCACTGCAACCCATTTCAATTTGATTGGATTGGATTTTGTGTGACTGATATCTGACAGAGTCTAACCTAGGGTTTTAAGTTTCAAATTTAAACAGGAAGTTCCAACGCTTTCTTTTATACAAATTTAATTGACCTGAATCTGAATGAATGCCAAATTGTCAAATGTCCTTTTGAATTTGGTTTCTTGTTTTACTTGTTGCCCACTAGCTCCAACAAGACGAAAACCCAATCACACACAGAACGTCAACATCAAATTTGTTGGGTTTCGTATAATACAGTGATCGGATAATTACGCTATTAAGTTTTTTGAACAACCTCACAGGTTTTGAGTGTAATAGGCTGATGCAATGATTCAGGCATGCTCTTGATGAACTACGCCAGGAGGTGGATTTGTTGGTGTCTCAGACGGTGCGAGAGGTGCATGGTAAGAAGAAACGTGCATGCAAAGTGGCCAACCAGAAATATTTCAATGCGCCAAACTGGTACCCGGTTGTGCACTTCAAGTTCCGGGGTCGTAATTGCCAAGCGCAGTTGTCCCATCCGCCTGGAGCTTCTGATGTGCCTTGCCGTTGTTTATTCATTGCAACTTATTCCACAGTCACTGGAACTGTTGTGTAGTATTATGTATCTGTGACACTTTCTCATTGTCATCGCAATGCATTCGTTTGCCTGCAAATATGTAACCCAGGACCAGGATGCTGGCCCATTCTACTTGACTGAAAACCGTGGCAGCCAAAGCATCTCATGCAACATTTCAGCCCTGTATGTTTGTGAGGAAAAGCACGATATTAGTGTTCCGGACCTTGGCTCACTTTTGGCAGCAGGGTCATAATCTCGGATCTCAGAGTTTGAGCTGAGAGGCGATGCAGTTGCCCAGCCAGATCTCCAGTTTTGCCACGTGGAGTTCTGTACATCATTTGCAAGTGTTGGATTTGAACATTCAGAACATCAATATAATTATGGAACATTCAGAACATCAATATACTTATGGTTACCCTTAAGTTTGCAATGGTTCTGGGGCCTTAGGAACTTTCGAAGGATCATGTTGTTGGGTATGTGGGCTATGTGGGGTTCCAGTCTAGGTTGGGCCGTTTTTGGGTCATTTGGTGGGCTATGTGGGGTTCCATGGAGGTCTCTGGGTCATGGAAAAATTCAACACCGGGTTCATTTTAGGGGACTTTAAGGGCTATGTCGGGCCAATGTTGGGCCCTATGTTGTGGCCATGTTGGGTCATTTGGTGGCTTTTATGAGGTTCCCTGGAGGTCTCTGGGAAGGAAAAAGAATTTTCACAAAAAGTCGACTTTTTGTGAAGGTTCTTTTTGATCTGATCTTGTTTGAGCCAGGTTGAGGGGATCCTTATGATGCGATCGTTTCTTTGGGTGTCAGTTGGGCCAATGCTGGGCCGATGTTGGGCCGCTTTGGGTCTATGTTGGGCCAGTGTCAGTTGGGCCAATGCTGGG